GCCATAACTCAGCCAGGCCCTGTTAAGTTATATGAGGTGTCAGAAGACAACTTTCCCCTCTGTCCGATCAGAACGGCCTTCTCGTACTCAGAATACACCTGGAGCTGAGCTGCTGAGTGGAGGGAGGGGGGTGATCTCAGAGGAACAAACAACAAAACTCTCTCTTCTCTAACATGAGCTGCCCTCTAATTTTCTTCAGACCTCCTTCACCCTCTCGCTCACGTAGAGCCAACCTGTCATTAACCTCGGCTCCTAATGGACAGGTGCTGAGGGACCCCAAGGTGCTGTGATCATATAGGGGACAATGATGATGACACCCCCCACACCACCACAATTCTTTCTTTTTTTCTTTTCTATACCTTAGTTTTGTTTTCATTTACTTTTTTTGGTACATGTATTACATGTTTTCTTCCTTTGATTTATTTTTTCTGTGTTCTAGATTTTGTTCCCTTTGTTTTTTATAAATTTTTTTCTCAACAGTGACTTGCTGTAGGCCCTGTTTACAGCAGGCCTGATGTGTGGTTTTGTTCACATTGGTTATGTAAAGACAACAATGGTAATTTTTTTTACAGAAGACTTTTCTTAACATTTAGCGGACATGATTTTATCCATTTACGGACATGATTTTATCCATTTATTAATAATGTTTTTGTATTCCAATTGTCACTGAAACCACATTGACAAAAGCAAAATCCATTTGAAAACATCAATCAAACTTCTTAGAATATAGATTTTTTAAACTTGACCCTTAACTGTCACCATCCCGTATATGGGACGCCTAAGTTTACTTCAATATATTACAATTAAATCCTAATCTAATCATGACAAACTATATATCGTTGGAAAGGTCTAAGACTAAATAGATATGTTACCACTGTTTGTTGTTAAAAATTATGTAGGAACAGTAATAGATTAATTTATGACAAGAGTGCACCTCAAAACATATACATCATAACAGGAGTTCTGACCTTTGTCACAAAAAATTATTCTTCGTTTCCTTTTTCCCTATCACATGTTTTAGTAATCATCATAAATTATATATCATCTGAAAGCTTAAAACCTCCAAATTCACCATGTGAAAACCATTTTGAAATCGGACATGGAAATCGTACTTTACAATCTTTTAGCGGGCTCCTCCCCCTTAGTGGGAGGTGTCATATTCCAAATGTATTACGGTCTTTTAGAATCAAAACGTTTCATAATCTTGACAAAATACATATCATTGGAAAGGTCTAAGTCTCAGGATTCCATATTTGGTGGTAACTTCTAGTCATAGAAGTAATATTGAGCGAGAAATTGATACATTTGTGACAGAAAAATGCATCAAAAAAATTCAATGGAGTTTGAATGGCTGTTTGTGGTATAATGCCTAAACAAAATTGCATAGGAACCTCCGTTTTTTTTATATCAACTTCAAATTTGGAACACAACTTATTTAGACATATGGCTTTAATTTGGATTAAAACGTATTTTATAAAATATTAATTTTATATAAAATAAAAAATAGTACAGTACATTTTCTTTACAGTAAATGTAAACTTCTATAAATTTTTCATGCTTTCATTTTTTGAAATTATTTCTTTAAAAAGAGACCAAACTTAGTCTGTATTCAAAAGTGTTTATGAATTATAACAATTTAAGTTTGAATGGGGGGGGTGACAGTTAAGAGGTTAAAAAGGCTTATTGGGAAAACATATCTATGGTGACATTTCTACAAAATGATGTTCCTTTGCTTCTTGCCGGTTTTGCGACACTTTCAAAGTGAACTGTCCAGTGAGTGGCGTTAAAAGCATGTTCAGTTCAACATTTTATTACGTTAGTTGTATGGACCGAGGCAGTTTGAAAATGAAATGTCCGGTGAGCTGCTAATATAAAAGGCTAATATTCAATCGTGTTTGAAAATAAGGAATAATTTTGTTAATAAATGCAAATATGAGATAAAACAATTACTGAAGACATGCCATTTTAGCTTGCTTCTACAAGTCTTTGAGCTTTTCTAATGTGACTTGCGTTTCATGGGATTCGCACCGGAGCGCTACACATCGCACTGCTGTACAAGGTGAGCTACTGAGCAAGTTTACTACATCAGAAAAGCCGCATATGCAGCTGGTTACGTGATGCAGACATCAAAATGTATTAGTTTACAAATCGTGCATGATGAAAGTGTTTTGAGGTCATATTGTGAAGGTTAGCAGGTTAAAGTCTTTATTAATCGATATTTTCTGCCCCCTGCGCTGGGTTATATTTAACCCAGCATTTTTTAGAGTGTAGTGTTTATTTAAGCTGGAATCCGCAGTTGTTATGTATAGATATGTTTTTGGAGTTTTTCCAAAAAAATTAGGTAGAGGCTTATTTTTCCAATAAGCCTATTTACTTTTTATTTTTATACTCTTATAGGTTTAAACAGTATGACCACGTCAGTAGATTCTGACTTGCCGTTCTGTCCATTCACTTTTGTCGATGTTCTGAAAACAAGCTTGTTTCTGTAACTGTGTGTTTCCCCTTTTAGCTTGAGTGATTCAGACATCATCTTACAGCGGGAAATGAAGAAAGCCAATTATCATATAATCCACATGCTCACATGGGGCCTATAAATGAACAATTTGGGAAGAGCTGAAAGGGATTCCATTTGATATAGTCAGCGTTCTCAGAACTGGATTAGGAAGAGGACACGCATGAGCCAGAACTGCATAAGCAATGTATTACCACTTCTGCTTAACAAAGAAGACACATTGTAAACATCACATTCTGACAGTCAGGTTTCACAGCCAAGATTCAGTTACATTTGTATTACTCTCGGGATTTCTTTTGAAGTGATCATTTAAAGCAAATTTACGTTAGTAGGCTAGTGGCTCTGACAGAATTTCATTAAATAGAAAACATTCTGAAATGGACTCCTTGTTTTAACCTGCATGGTCATACAGCTAGACACACGATCATTTACACTGATGATAGATTTTGATCTCTTTTGAGAAAAGCACACTGCTGTACAGTACTAAGACATGACACATTAACAGTCAGAATCATTTTAATTGGCTGATATTCATATGCATTTCATTATTGTAGTGACATAGCGTGTATGTGTATAGTGTAATATAGTTATAGGCCTGTTGTGGCTGGTATTACTAACAGTGTCATGATTTGTGTGGTGTGGAATTTTACACTTTGGATTTGGTGACTGCTTCTTTTGTCTGCCTAGTCATGGATCTATTCATCAGAAGTGCAAATGAAGCAACTTGTAATTGCTGTGTTACTAACTTGTACCCCGGAGCGACCCGCAGACCCAGTTTTTAATGCACCGTAAAGGATAGTTTGTTGTATTTTGAAGTACCTAAGAATCAGAACCATTCAGTATTTTTAAAATTATGTTTATTTGTGGCTTTTTTCTATTGCAGTTAATTACAAATATATTTTACACATTTTATTTTTGCTAATTGTTATATAAATGAATGTTTAATGGAAAGAAAATTGTCAAAATGAAGTCATAATGAAAAAAAAAACCTCTTTGAAGGTTGACAGATTGCAAATATCCTTTTTATACTTACACGTTTTATACCTTTTTATACAAAACTGAAAATACTTAACAAGACCTTTGCTGCTAAATATATTCTGTAATTGTATCGATTCACATTTGCTATAAATCTATAACATTTAAATTAGGTCAAATTAGCACAGAATCATTTCTGTGCCGCTTCCTGCAATCACATCAAGAATCCACCAAATATCCACATGAATTATGAATCTCAGATGTTTAGGAAAATGCTGCGCTGAGTTTTTGTGCTATATAGTGGTTAAAGAAGAATGAGCCCTGTTTTACATGAAAAAAACACACATGACAAAAATGTTTTAGATCAGTGAAGATTTATATTATAATTTACATTTTGTCAAAGCTGTACTTAAATAGCTACGTAAACAAAGACAGTCTTTTTTTTTTCCTTTAATTTAAAGCTGAAGATGAGGTGTAGACTTTGGTCATACTTTAGGACAGAAAGTGTATGAGATACAGTACTACTACCTCACAGCACATGTTGCTGATAAACTGTCCTACTAATATCGCTGCACAAAATCATATTAAAAACAAAGAAAAAAGTACAAACATAAGACAAAAGAAAAAAGAACCAGTGCATACAAAGGCCAAAGTGATGTGGAGTGTCCATAAACATCATCACAGACCTGCAGAGCAGACAGTTGCAGCAGCTCACGCTGCACTTGCACACATCTCTGAAAATAAACGAAAGAGTTCACTTTGGTTATCATTTCCACATTCTCATTTCTTTATCGTTTTGGTTTCTGTAATGTGCCACACATAAGTAAGAAATTGCAGTGTCAGTGTCAGTGTCACACACACACACACACACACTCACTCTGACATTTGAGGTAACAGTTGTTGGTAATATATAATATGCCCTTTTTGTATTCATTATGTTGTGTAGAGCTCAAAATTAAGAGAATAAATGTTTTGTAAAACACGTACACATAGATACGTAACCTCTGACCTTTCCTATAGTTAAAAAATGCCTTCAACAAAAAGGTCTACCTCTGACTTCAAAGCCCACATTAAAAATAAACCTGAATGTGGTGAGCTCTTTGCAGTCACACATGAAATCACAGTCAACTGGGACACTATTTACAGTTACTATCCACAAAAGAATAAAGCAAAAGAAAATATATAAAACAGTAAATTACAATGATTTAACCAGTCATTGTAAACATTATTTCCACGTATTGGTTGTGAAGGATGATGCGTTGAATAATAAATTAAATAGATTACGTAACAAACTAAAATAAACACCAAGAAGAGCAAATAATATTAATAATATTAATAAAAGAATATGATTGTCTTTTTAATTTGTGTAGGACATACTGGACCACTGATGGACTGGAACGATGTCTGTTAGCCCTGAGTACTCAAGTCCCTGAACATAAAGGCCATAGCCTGATTCTTTGAGAAGAATTATGTATACTTGTGGCTGTCCATAACCTTGTCAAGAGAGCTAGTCAGGTAAATGGTCAGCAATCCTCTAGTTGGCTAGGTTTCCATGGCCTCCTCTGTCTCCTTTTTAACCTTGACAGGTAGGAGCTGGATAGGGCTGCTGCAATGAACCTTGATGACAGAGTCCTCACTGCCATGCTCGTTCAGACGATATATAGATAATGCAGGTGGTGGGGGGTGCAGGTCTCCTCCAGTGCTACCTTTGTGATAAGACGCCTTAAAATCCATCTCCTGCCAGAGCAGGCCAAAGATCTGTTTCTCTACCATGCTCTCCACATCAAACCCTTCCATTTCTTCCAGTCTGTCTGCATTATCGCTGATGTCAAAGCGTTCAATTTCCTCATTCACGCGGTTGAGTTCATCCAGGCTGCAGCTGGGAGAAGGAGAGACCGCTAAGCAGTAGCCTTTGAGGTGGAGCCGCAGGCTGCTAAGGTGAATGTAGTTGCGGTGGCAATGCGGGCATTGGTGTGGATGTTCTCGTGTGTGCAGCCGTTTGTGCAGCTTGAGGTGGACAAACTGTGTAAACTTGGCTGGGCAGATCTTGCACTGGTAGGGCTTTTCACCAGAGTGCAGTCGCAAATGGGTCTTCAAGTTGCTAGTGCTGCTGAAACGCTTGTGACACACCTGTGAGGTGAAAGCAGAGTTTTAGGATCTCATTCTTATTGGAGCAGAAACCTTACAAATGTACTCAGAAAATGAAATGACTGGTTACAACTGAAATTGTTGGTATTATTTACTTGGCACTCATGGGGTTTCTCTCCTGTGTGGACCAAATAGTGTTTCTGCAGGTGGGCCAGCTGAGTGAAACCTTTATTGCAGGTCTGACACTTAAAGGGTCGTTCACCGCTATGGACTCGCAGGTGCACCTGGAAATAAAGACAGGTAAGCTAGGTACTACCAGGAGTGTTTCTAACAGATGTGTAGCACACATATGCTTTTCATCAAAAAGGAGGCACAGTTGTCTTGCTTACCTTGAGATTGGAAAGTTGACCAAAAGTCTTGGTGCAGATATTGCACTCATACTTGATCTTCCCGTTCTGCTTCTTAAGTGGGTAATCTAGAGTTTTGTAGCCTGTGGAACCTTGTTTCATCTTGCTTAGATTGATCGCCTTATCCTCCGAGCGGCTGGTACTCAGGATTGCTGAGGTAGGCTTGGTAGGAACACGTCCGGTAGAGGCTGCAGAGCCGGCTGGTGGAGACCCACCAGCGGGAGCGTAGGGGTTCCCATGCCCATGGACTGGTTTGTCTTTCAGAGAGGTGGCTGCAGAAAAGGCACTGGTGGCCGCTGGGAGCAGGATGTCCCTGGGAGCCAGAGAGTCAGGTGGAAGCAGAAATTGTCGACTACCCTCGGACGGAAGCATGCCAGGTGGGAAGGGTACATGAGGGGGTACCAATCTGCTATAAAAGGGGTACATGTGTGGAAATATACCTCCCAAAGTAGGTGGCCCACTCAGACTACTAACAGGGTAGTGGGGCATGAGGTAGCGTGAGTAGTGCGGGTTAGGGTAGAATGGCATGGAGCCTGCTGGTGAGTAGCCTGGGTAGTGGTTCAGGCCACGACTGTAGAGTGCTGGAGAGAAGGAGAGAAGGGTGTCTCTTGGCTCAAGGGATGCTGGTGTGGGACTGCTTTCTGGACTGCTCTCCAGACTGCTGTGTGCTGAAGGGCTGGGTGTCACTGAACACTGTCTGTGGGAGCGGTTCGGGAGGCCAAATACTGTGGTAGTCTTTAAAAAGTCTTCGCTTAGGGAAGGGCGGAGCGGATAGACAGCACTGGGGTAAAGAGGTCGGTCTGGGCTGTTGGGGCAGCGGGGACGGGTGGGAAGTGGTCTGCTGGGTTCTTGCAGTACGTCTTTCAGAATCTCTGAAACACTGTGCTCTCTTTTCCCTGGGTGCTTGATTTCAGTCACTTGCTGTGTGGCTTCAATCAGGCTCTGCTCTGTTTACACACAAAAAACAATATGTTAATTTTCTCACTCATTTACATTCACTGATACAGGTCTGTTTGCGATATTTGTTACATGGTCACAATCCCAATTCCAGTTACTGTTATTTTGAGGGACACAGCAGTTCCATTGTCCCAGAGGATACAGCTATTCTTAAAGCAAATTTCAACAAAGCACCCCAGTGGTTCACTTAGTGTGACAGTTTGACAAATTATCCCGTGTTAGGGTCTACAGACAGGATGTGAGGCCTGACAGCCGCCCCGGTCAGGGTGGGATGGATGCACTGATACTATCTAATGGGGTTCACTGAGTGGGTGTGGGGGGACTGATGGCGTCCTGCTAATAGGGATCTACATGCCTAGATCTCTCCCTTTTAGAGTCCACAGAGACCAGGGATGGATTTTATTTAGTGACTGATCTTAAAAGAGTTCCCAAATTTCTGCACAGCGCCAAACTTAAAAGCTTTTGCAGAATTCACAATAATACAAATATATATAAAACATGCATAGAGTAATATAATTCTCAAATTTAGGCTAAATAGACCCATTATAAACCACCCTGACCCTTCCACCCACTCACATTTGATGAAAGGTGGAAAGCTAATTAGAAAATTACTTTCCCATATATCTTAAGTACTTCAATGTTAATCTCCTTCAAAAGGATGTAAACAATTAAATAACTTCCTGCTTCCTGTTCACTGAACTTTCACGGGGTTAATTGTGTAGAATTCAAGTGTGAATATGAGTGTGCACATGAAAAGTATCCCTTAAAAGATGTACCAGACTCTCTTCTCCCCTATCCCTCTGTACCGGCAGCTACGTGTAAACAAACTGAGAGGTTATCAGTTCTCCCCTCCCACCTCTCTTCCACAGATAGTACCAGTTCTGTTCCTCCCTAGAGAGCTTGCCAAAAACAAACAGCAGGCGATCACAGAGATATCAATCTGTCAGCACAGCCCTGCCACCAGGAAGTTCAACTAGTCAATGGAAGGTTTTTTTCTCTCGTGCGCACTCTTACTAGCCTCTCCTTACTCTTAAAGTGGCAAACAAAAGATGAAGTTCCTCGCACACCTCCTGAGGCAGGATGACAAAGGAATGAAGGGACTCAAGATACATGTTGGCTGAATGTGCTGTCATCTTACACCAGACAGGACTAGTGAAATAGAATGTCAGTGTCTAAATCAGTTTCAGGTGGGAGGCTGTGTCAGTCAGATCAGCCCATTCTATTAGATTGAGTCATACACCAGGTTTCTTTAGGGTTGCTACTGTTCCGCTTTGAGATGCAGGGGGTATTATTCCTTCTTAAGGCTGCAGGTAGAGGGGCAGCAGACATGAGTGAGTAGGTGTAATTACAGACTTGTCTATGTGTGTGTGTTGAGCTCAAGGGGTCGGCTACATCCAGTGGCCCCAGGGTATGCGCATGACTCTGGGGAGAGGAGTCACACTGACTGGCCTGTTCACCTTCCTTTAATCTCCCCCTCTCCTCCGTATCAATCTTTCCCTCTGTCTCGTTTTTTTTTAGCTTAGAGACTTTTATTGCTGGTTTAGTATGTTGGGCAAAACAAACCTTAGTCTGCACTTTCATGTTTAAAGAACGTCCTCAAACACCAATGGCTGCAACATTACACTCCTATTCTTTGTAATTAGTCTGAACAAAAACATTGTTGAGGAAGAAAGGAGAGAAATAGAGTAGTTCAAAGAATTCCGATCTTAACAGAGATGAAAGGGAAGAAGCTGGTGTGTTTGCACCATGCTTACAGGGTCTATCTCTATAGTGGGAAAGGCATGTTTTTCTTGACTTAAACTGAGATAACAAGGATCAAATATATGTCCAGGTCTATGGCAAATAGAGAGATGTCACATATATGTATTTTTGTGAACTTACTGAGTTTTTGCATCATAATCTCTCCAGAGGCAGGGTAGTTGAGACGGCGGGCAAACTCAGGGCAGTACCACACCAGTAGTTCCTGATCTGCAGGAATGGCCTTCACGGTGTAGAAATAGATGTTCATGCCATTTTGGCAGGCAGCAAGGTTCTGTTCCTGCTGGGAATGTGCTGGATTCACATAACGCATCCAGTTACTCTTCTCCTCGACCAGTCCGTCCACAAAATGATGGAACTCTCCATTTGAGTATATCTAGAAAATACAATGAAGAAAATTAAGACCAGATCTTTTTTTATTAGAATAACTTTCGTTTTCTTTATTACAATGTTCTATTCTCTAGTCCTCCAGTGTAGTTCTCACGTCTTTGAGACAGACAAGTGGGGTTTGCTCTTATAAAGTCTCACAGTGAGTCAGCAAACGCCCCCACACTAATATGCACAGTCTCAGAGTATCTCCATCCAGTTCTCTGATGCATTCTTAGGTCTCGTCTGAGGTATGGTAGGGGGACGCCTGTCTCAGTATCTTGTTTATACTAAGCTTGCAAGTTCCAGGAACACTTTCAAGACGTCACAAACAAGGTTTCCCTCAGAAACGTCAACACTACACTTCCTCTAGCACTTTTTCTCTATGCTTGAAAAGCTAACCAGTGACTCTGTAATCACCTGCCCTGCATCATATGGTAAAGGACTGACAGTAACACAGGAAAAATGATATCAGTGCTGTGACTAGTAGGTAAAGACCAGAGTTGTTCCACTTGGGGATCTTCGATTTGGCAACAATATGGAAGTGACAGAAAATAAGTCAACACAAAACCAGAGCAGGTTGACTTTGCACTTTCTCCGTGACGACAGCTGTAAACGACAGCTGAAAGTCACAGAGGAGTGAGAAAAACATTTCGTTTGAATTGTTAGTGGCATTTAATGGTAGTGGCAACTGTGATGTTGCAATGGGATTTCTTTTTTCACTGGTCAAACACTTTGAATAACTGCAATGACACAGATAATCTGTAAAGCGGACATATTCTTGAGAAAGATATATTCACAGCAGCAGAACTGAAGAGTCATTCAGCACTTCCTGTCCCACATGCTCAGAGCGCTGCACAGTCAAATAAAGATTACACTACATGGAACGTATCAGTGCTCTCTCAGTCATGCAGCACCAGTGCAGCAATGCAGTTCACAAAACAGCAGATCTTTACTCAGCAGTTTCTGATCGCTCTGAGAATATAAAGGCACTTCTTCTACATAACCATCTAGCCCATGATGTCACATAGGAAGTCAGTCAGTGGAACAGGAAGTGACCCGGTATTGTTTTTCTTGTCCGCTCCTACTTTATTGCGGCCCGGGTGAGTTCTGTGTTCTCTAGAGGACCCTCCCAGGTGTGATCTTTTACGATGTACGTGCATTTCTCCTCAAACTCTTCCTCCGTCCATTTTGTCATGTCTACATCCTCTACATCCATCTTGAGCTCCTCATTGTCCACGGCGTAGGGTGCTTCCTCAGTAGTCAACATGGCCGAGCTGTGATGAGAAGCAGCCTGAGAAAAAGAAAAAGCATTCGAATTGAATGACTTATCAGATCTGAGAACTAGAGAACTAAACATTATCTTAGGAAAGAGTAAAGGTTAAACTACCTAAATGATCTAGTTGCTTTAAAACTTTCGTGCTGCGCAAATGTTCATTTATACTACAAATTTTAATTAATTACAATTTAAATATTTTTGCCTAAATTAGAGCTTAATCGTTTACACAACATTAAAAACTAAGAAGTTTCTTTCTACACAAGCTGAAGTGCTCTTAAAGTAAATAAAAGACAACAGCCGTGCCGACCCGCTCCGTAAGGTCAGAACTGATCAAAGTCTCTCTACTCATGTCCTACTCTTCATTTCTGTCTATCAACATGAGTCGAACCCTCTCCCTGTTTTCTTCCCTGAGTGAAAAAATAGTCACAAATGGAGGAAAACAGAGGAAGGAAGTCCCGTCTACATCTGAATGTAGCTAAAATTGGAATCAGAGTGGCAGAGCAATGGAACCATCAATCCATCCCAGAGAATGTGTGTGTGAGAAATAGAAACAAAAGAGGAAAAACTTTGACGCAAATTGATACAACCAAAATTCAAAAGGGAAAATACATAGTTACCTGTTCAGGACTAAAACTAAACTTCTCTGAGAATGTTTTATTAAATCTCTTAAAATGATTAAAAGTGTTTTCATGTAATTTAAAAGTACATTTAAAATTAAACTAAAAACTTCATTTAAAACTATTTGTTCTTATAATTACAAATGTTTGTAGTTTGTTTTTATTTAAAGTTTACAGAATTAATACAATTTATGTTTCAAAGCTGATTTGTGAAAAAGTTGATTTGTGATGAATATAAATTGTAGTTGAGCATTGTCTATTATACCAACATTTTATACATTTAAAAAAAAAAAAAGATCAGAAAATAGTTATGTTTTTGTTAGAAAGAATTGTGTGCGTAGGACAGCTGTAGAACCAAAACTCATAATGAAACTGAAAAACTCCACATTAACAAACATGGAAATCAGATGTATGCATACTAAATATGCACGCACAATATAAAACTATATATTATGTTTGATAAGAAAAAAAAATACTACTTTTAGGTGAAATCTTAAAAAAAAAAAATTTAGTTTAAATTTAATAAAACTATAAACTATTATTAAATACAGAAATATTTTTTCTAAGAATTAAATACAGAAATTATTTTCTAAGAATTGTTTTAAATACTAAAATAAATGAAAATGCCTAAATTATCACAGTCAAGAATTTTCACAAAAAAAAAATAATGAACTAGAAAGCCCCAATAAAACTGTTTTTCTATACCTCAAAACAATCACACCACATAGAATTAACAACCACTAAATAACTGAATAACCACTAAACATTTCATTTATGAAATAATAGAAACAATCAGTTCCATTGTAAAACGCATTCTCTGCTTTACACAGAAATAAATGCAGAACACACAGAAACTGAGTTTAGAGAAATGTCACTTACCAGGACGCTCTGGTCCCAGCCACACATAGAGGCTGTGTGTGATCTCTCCCCTGAGTGTGTGTGTATATGTATGGGACAGGTGCAGCTCACAGTTCTCCTGTCTTGTCCCACTGCTAGTCCAGATGGTAAGTGACTTCTCCTGCAAGTGCCTGAGATTGACTGACTGCCTGAGCAAGTTTGTCTGACTTGTTGAAGGCACTTTGGCCCTGCCCACTATCTCCTCCTGCCTTAGTATCACTGACTCCGCCTCCAGAGTACATGATCTAACAATTACTCCACTGCTACACACACACATTATTGCAGAGAAAATAATTAATAAATAATAAAAAAAAAAAAGTGCACTAACCACCCGAAATTTCCTTTATTTTGACCTTTTTGCCCTTTTTTGTCTTAAAATATTCTTCTATTAAAAAAGTTTATACTGTATTCAAATGTACTTTCTAAATAATCTTTTTCTAAATATAAATTTTAATCAGTATGCAATTTATTTTTTCATTATATTATAGAATAATTTTTTTTGTAATTATCAAAACAGAAATCCAAAAATGATAATACTATATTTTAACTTTATTTCAATTTATACTATGTTTATATATATATATATATATATAACACAGACTCTCACAAAAGAAAAAAGTGATCAACATAGTCTTTGAATTATTGAGACGCACAACACGAGACTGTTTTGACCCAAACCCCCAGAGCTACGTTCTTGTTTGAAGAGGAAAGTGAACATGTTGATGCGTCTTCCCCTCACTCTCATCCTGTGAAGGAAGGACGTCCTGTGACGGTGACTCGATGAGTAATGCCGTTTACTGGGAGCTGACTGACGTCCCTGTTCCTCTTTTATCCCCCATTTCACACTCTTTCCCACAATACTTACCTTCTCCGGTGCATTATTCATTCTTGAGAGCACTCCTACAAACTCACATTCTGGGTTCTAACATGTCGATCATTCTTAAAATCAGAGAAACTTCTCTTGTATACATTTCTCTTTCAATAGGAGAATATGAAGTACTAATGAAGGATTCTTGAAGGAAGAATGCCTGCCCCTCAGCAGACATACTCAAAAACACTCATTACACACAAAAACACTCTCACCCACCCGAAATTCAGCTAGTGACAAAGAGCTGACCACATCAGTCGCAGCCTACTATTTCCTGGCAGCAGACTACCCAGAAGATTGTTGTAGCCCCAAGGGCTGCCCAGAACCCACTCAGCCCACAACCCGCCCCAATCTGGTCCACAGCTGTTTACACTGAAACCCACTCAATAAGAAGTCCAGGAAGGACCAGCACCAAAACACTGAAATTCACCTTCAAACGAAAGAGCTGAAACTGGGACCTGCCAGCAAGCTGGATCCGAGAGAAGAGAGTCTGTCTCAGCCATTCCCAATAAGATCCACTTTAAGAGACTTCAAGCCCAAAAAGGGCTGAACCCTCCAGGGCTTGATCAGACACCTTTTCTCTTTCTCTGGACAAGCTGAGGCCAGGGGGCAGGGAGGACTCTCTCAACTCTGAAGTCAAATTCAAATGGACCTTTTTACTGTCTATATAAAGGGTTTAATGTGGCCTGAAAGAAAACCAGCTAAACAATAGCGGGCAGAGGAACATCAACAGCGCTGTTAGTTTTACAGACAAGCTCATAACATCCCCACACCGCAGAGGAAGATACGAAGTGCAGAAACGTCTTGCACCATAAATAGAACTGTTCTGATTTGAAATAAGGAATGACAAATTTGTGCAGCGTAATTGCTTACATCCTTAAAGCTGCAAACATAGAAGTTGCTGACGACCACATCCAATCTGCCGCTAGTCCTCAGCAGCCAGAGACTCATATGTAAAACCAATGTTGTTTTTTTAATCTAATTTCCTTCTCTCAACCAACAACACATCCCTTCTATAACAGCGTAAACAGTGTTATCTTCTTTAAAATCGTTTAATCAGGGTTCTCTCTCTAAATAGAATAATTACTTAGTTAAAAGAAAGCTTATGTACATTTCCTTTGCTTGTGTGTGTGGCTGTTATTCTAAGCACATCCCACCACAACTGAAATATTAAGCAAAGCATATTGAGCCATGGCACCTGGATTGAACCGAGTCTGAAGGTTCGAGTGTGTGTGTGTGTGTGTGTACACACATGTGCTAGTAGAGAAGCTGATCTGCACGTGTGCCGCACGTTCTGCAGATGACCCCCCTCCCAGCCCTTTTCATGTGGGGTAACGGGGCAACAGAGCTCTAATCCCTCCGCTTCCTCAAACCAGCCATCTGGAGATATGTCTGTCTCCTTACAACATTTACCACAGAGGGGGCGGCGTGGTGATTAATACTATGACCAGACAGAGACTATCTAAACTAAAAGAGGACCATGCTAAATTTGGCACGTGTTATTAAACGGTTTATATTAATGATTAAATTCTCAGGATTCATCTATATTACATAAACCCTTTACAGTGACAGTGGCTTGAGGGTTTGCTTACATGACACGCCATTTGGGTAGAAAAGAGTTCTGACCTAAGAATGAAAATTCAGGGAAATAAAAAATCAGCTCCACAACAACTGACAGTGACTTAATTTATAAAGATCAGATTGTTCATTCCATAAGGATTATTACACTTAATACAATTGCAATATATACATGGAAATTGTAATATTTTATATCATTGCAGTTGATTCAATTATTTGACAGAATACAACAAATTTAAAGTGATATTTCTTTTTTTTTTTTCTTCTTCTTCTTTTACTGAAAAATTTAAACTGAACTGAAAATTGAAAGGAATTGCTAAAGAGAAACCAGGGACAGAAACATTACATTTTGGAGAATTTATTCTGTTATTCTAGATATCTTTATAAAGTAAAAGGAGGATTTAACAGTCAGGAATATATGTAACACGCATTAAGAATCATTACAAAATTAAGACTGCACATTCACTTATTTTGTGACATTTATATCTAAATATTTCCAGCAAGAAAGAAAGATTTTTTTTTTTTGTCTACACTTGTGAGAAACGTTGTTATAGACCATAATTAGACACATCTTAAGTGATGAAAATATGAATTAAAATATACGATAATTTTAACAAATCAAGAAAATAAAATGTGTCCATATCATGACTTACTGAAGATTAAATTTAATATGATTAGTTTGTTGACTAGACACAATAATACAATTAATTATAGATATATACTTTTTAAGTACATTTATAATCAATGAAAATCAGTTTGCTTTACCTGCTGGCTTCCATAAACGTCTGTGAATGATAGCGATGGTTTAATCCTACTGATATACACAGAGTTCAGAGATCTCTGTTCACACACACACACACACACACACGCACACACACACACACACACACACA